TATATAGCATAAATATGTGAAGTATACCTGCAGTATGGAAACAGTACAACAAAATGGCCGTTTTACACCTTTTTCTAGTAAATTCCCCTCTAATATATATTCTATTCTCTATGAAATTATTCAATCTTAGGTAGGATTTTCTTATCATTTAAGATGTTTAATGAGTTTTTGTCGTCTTTGAAGTCTCATCCTTTGTGGGTAACCCCGAAATTAACAATATTGTTTGGCTTTTACCAGAGATATAAGAGTTACAGAGATCGATTAACACCTATAATATGCGATATTTTCCACAGATGTAAGAGAGTTACAGAGATCAATTAACATCTATAATATGTGCGATATTTTCCACAGCATGTTATGTTGTGTACAAGTACTGTACACATGACTTAACTTGTGCATGATTTACAACATTCAAATATCAAATTTTTTAAAATTTTTTTTTCCATGGACAACGCCGGGCCTACAGCTAGTTATACATAAATAGATAGATACATTTATAAGAATCCAACCGTATTTGCTAAATTGGACATAGAATAATGAACATTTAATCCTTTTACTAAATACTAAGATTAGTACAGATAATTTATTCAAATAAATTGTTAGATTTGGCACATTGTACAATTATAAATGATATTTATCTGAGCTGCAGATCAAGATACTTTATATTGATCAGATATCAGATAGAACTGAGGATAAATTGTTAGATTTGGCACATTGTACAATTATAAATGATATTTATCTGAGCTGGAGATCAAGATACTTTATATTGATCAGATATCAGATAGAACTGAGGATAAATTGTGTTCTGCAATGTTATTATTCAAGAGGCATAAATATTTGTTGATTTATGTTTGTGTTTGTGTGAAAAATACATCAAAACGACTAATTATCCACGTTAGAAAAAAGTGCATACAAAAAAGCTTAAATAATTTACTAAAACTGCTCTCTAAATCCTTACACTATTCAATGAAATAATTTAAACTTTTCAGATTTAAACATCTCAAAATTTCTTGGATTTAAAGATTCAAACGGTGGTATGTATGTTTCTATTTTTATATCTTTAATTGGCATAGAGTTGAGGATTAACCATGGGTCCATTACTATATAATACTTGGCATTAGAACACTATCACTTGAAGCGGGAAATGTAAGCAGGAGTTAAAACTTTTTTTAAAATCAGCATACTGAAGTGGACCAAGGGGAAGGGGATTTATCATAAACCAAGGAAAATCAATTTTTGGTCAAAAATATTGATTTTTCTATAAGCTTTAGTTTAGTACCTTGTTTATAAATCATTATAATATCGGATTCTAATATATTTACAGGGTTTCCCGTAATATGTTAGCTTTTTCTAATATATTTACAGGGTTTCCCTTAGTATTTAGCTTTTTCTAATATATTTACAGGGTTTCCCTTAATATTTAGCTTTTTCTAATATATTTACAGGGTTTCCCGTAATATGTTAGCTTTTTCTAATATATTTACAGGGTTTCCCGTAATATGTTAGCTTTTTCTAATATATTTACAGGGTTTCCCGTAATATGTTAGCTTTTTCTAATTTTAAACTTTTTGTTAACTAAATTTGTATTCACTGAGCTTCATAACTTACAAAATAATTAAGATTGTTTTTTAATTAATTCCCTAAATATAAAATTCAGAGAAAAAAGAGTTGGGCATTGTTAAAAACTTTATCAAAAAAACACAATTGTTATAAAAAATTCAAAAATTCAAAACATAAATTAAAATTAAATGTTTACTGTTGACATCTGTTTTAAAATCTCCCCTACACATGTGAAGTTTCCAAATTAAAAAAATGATTCCCATTCAATACTTTAAAATTCATAAATTGGAATTTATTTAGTGTCATAATTTTTCCCACCCTAGATATGTTCAAGAATGAATTATTATTATTATTTACTCGGTTATTAATATTGATATTAATGATAATAATTTTGCATGGATTGAATAATAAAGGGAAATCATGTATTTACAGAGAACTAATGTATTAACACCATGTTTAGTACCTTTCAGCACAACATTTGCATTCCATAATTTGAAAAATAAAATTTGCATTGTTTAAATTTTTTCCTATTGACTTCAATTATAACTTAGATGCCCCCAAACTTAATTAAAAATATGATATGCAGTCTATGTATTCTGTACCTTCATTCATTTATAAAATGCCATATAAGATTAAGAATGGGTATTTATACAGAAAATAAATCGATTCACTTTTTAACATTTCAAAGAGGATAAATTGTCCTTATTTTTGTCTCTTCTTTTTTTAATTAAAAATTTTAGGAAATTGCATTGTAATATTTGATGGTACTCTTTAATACATGATCCTTGATTACTGATAATACTTTTAGCTAACGAAAGGTTAGTATTGGTAATATTATATAGGGGGAGGGGGAGGAGAGGAAAATTGAAAGAAGATCGAAAGGGGAAGTTAAGGTTGATCGATAAATTTTCTACAGTTAGTGAATAGTGATGGTTTTTACGTTTTTGGAAGTTTTCTAACAGATCGCTGAACAACTGATTTTTGTTAGCACCATCGTTAACGATCTCTAACAACAGAGTTATGCATAAAGATTGAACAATCGAAAAGGAGGGGTCATCATTTTGACGACCTTAAGCTGAAGATCGTTAATGATCGTTATCGACCGTAAAAATCCGAATTGGTTAAAAGTGTTCTCTATCTGTAAAACTCACAAGTTCAAAGTAGGAAATTTATTTCAATGTTTTTTTTACATCATCATCAGTCCTTTAACATGAGAAGCTTGTTTTGAACTGATATAGATTGTTATCGATATCTAGCGTAAAAAATTGAAATTTCCCTAAAATTAGCATTACAGTGATAGACGCAATAGGAACAATGCATCTAAACCCAATCTAAAGATCTTACGAGGTCTCAAAAAATTATTTATTTAGGTTTTTAGTTTAAGATCTATATAATCAATCTCTTCACTCATATTTAAATATGTTAGCTATAGCTGGTCAAATTGGCTGAATTATTTTCAAGGAACCCGTGGCTACCCCAAGCGCAGGAAAACGGCGAGAGTAACTACTAACTATGCATTTTTTAGGCAACGCCGGGTATTCTATGGCTCGTTATTTCATATATTGGTCATTTTACTTGTATCTTACTTGTATTTTACTTGCTTTTTACTTGTATTTTACTTGTATTTTACTTGTATCTTACTTGTATTTTACTTGCTTTTTACTTGTATTTTACTTGTATTTTACTTGTATCTTACATGTATTTTACTAGCTTTTCACTTGTATTTTACTTGTATTTTGCTTGTATTTTACTTGTATTTTACTTGTATTTTACTTGTATTTTACTTGTATTTTACTTGTATTTTACTTGTATTTTGCTTGTAATTTAATTGTATTTTACTTGTATTTTACTTGTATTGGGATATATGTAGAGTTTGACAGTGTACTAGTATAAGAGTATTGATTGTAATGAGGAGTAGGAAGGGTTGTGATATGACACCGCTGGGAATAGAAATGGTTCTGGAGAACTCAGAGATTAGAGGAGGTGTGGGGGGGATCCTACTGCCTCCCCCCCTTCAAACCCCGATCTCTATCTCGCCAGCATATGACAGGAGCGTGATGTCATTATATAGTTTTTTAGCGTCAAAAAGCGTTATTTTGAAGGCAGATGCGTGCTGTCCCCCCCTTTCTAGAGATTTTTCAGGCCCCTGTCAGTGTCTGTATTGAAAAGCTGGAGTTTAGCATGTGCGACAAAATCAAATTCTTTGTTAAAAAACGAGATAAAAAAAGGGGAATGGAGGGGGGGGGGGGTTGTAGAGGGTACTTTAAATGCGTTTATTTATATTTCTCTATTGATATTTTAATTTTCTTTTCGATGGGGGATGTCGAAAGGGTACATATAGCCAGAGGTAGTCGATAAACATGAACTAAATCACGGTATATTCCAGTACATTTCATGTACCGGGCCGGATTTTAACTAGCTAGGGCAAGCAGTACAGTACAAATACAGACTTTACGAGGCAAAACGAGACTGTTCGCTAAGTAAACAATTTCCTCTTAGTGAAATGTACATAAAATGAACTGAATTGAAACTGTGATATAAAGAATAAATTGTTAAAATTTGTATTGATCAGAATATTGAATCTACTGGCAATACCCCCAATAAATGTATTAAATGTGTGGAATTTTAGGAAGTCTATGTAACCTTTATATTATGTAAACTGTTCTTAAAGAAGACGACATTCAGAAACGTTCAGAAAATGCTCAATAAGCAATTTTCATAAATTAAATCATACAGAATCTGCAACCTGATGACGTGTTTACCGAATTAATATTCTAAAATTTGAATATTCAATCTTGCAGAAAGAGAAGCTGTTAATTGAGAGATGATTGATTGATAATCAAAATTTTAATTCTGAAAACAATAAAAATAAAAATAAAGTGGACATATTTTTTTATTTAATCTTTAATGATTAATAACATATCACATAGAGATTTGTGCTAAAATTATATATTAAATAATTTCCTATATTTTGCGGAAAAATACGATTTAGTTAAATTGACGCTGTACGATTTACATAAACATCCACACATTAACTAGAGTTCAAAACTTTTGTATTGGGAATCCACGGATCAAGCAGTTATTTTAAGCCGTTCATATGGACTATTATTTAGCTATTGGATAAACTTTGCAAGAATAACCAAAATTGAGGAATCCCTTCAAACTAAAAGTTGCCATCGCAGATATTGAGATCAAGCATTGTAGATAAGCATTTGAACCCAGGACATTGAATAGAATAAGAATATATATTTGGAACTGCGCAATGCGCACATAGCATTTTGTCATTTAATTCAGTAATTGAGGAATTGAGTATTTGGAACAAACTCAAATTTTCTAATCCTTATATTTTTGCAAATTTTAATATTTAAAACTTAGATTATTTAATCTAACAGAATTCATAAAATGAACCATCTAAGGTTTATGACATTGGGTTGCAAATGTATAGTTCAAATATATAGTTCAAATATACAGCTCACTATATAGCCCGTCTTGTATACCCATTATGTGTAAGACCCAGCGTGTTTTATGCAACAGAATTAGGCGGCTGAAACTAAAGGGATAGGGGTTAGAAAATCAGAATTTATGACAATGACTCAATTCCTCATTTTATTTGAGAAATGTCTTAAGGTTTGAACCCTGGTCTCCTAAATAAGCCACTAGATCCAGAATAGACAAACAGGATAGACCAAGATAGAATCCAACAGAGCTTCCTATCTCCACCAGCAAGGAGATAAAAGTAAAGCTTTGATATGCTTCGCTAACCTTAATTTCGTTCTTGAAAAACAGACCTATAGCTGAAGTTGGAGAAGAGATCTTTTGAACCCTTCGTAATGATATTTCTTGTCTTGTGCAGGGCAAAGGACATTCAGGTATTGTAATACTCTGCTTGTAGGCTATGTTTAAGGTCAAATAGCTACTGATATAATCAGTGTAAGCTTTCATGTATGTCTGATTAAATGTTGTTTTACAGGTACGAGATTCATTAGTTGTCAGAAATGGATTCACACATCCAAGAATATCCAGAAAATCAATATACTGTTCTTCTTCCATGCAGTTTGAAAAACTGGAATATTTGGAGTCAGCTTCCCCATAGATCATACAATTTGTTTTCGAGTCATGTTCACTCAGAATACTTCTCTTTAGGTTTACTTCATATACATAGCTATAAGAACGAGTTTCCTTGATGAGATTCTGATCAATAGAGAAGGTATGCCAAGGGTAGGAATATAATGTTTCTTGGTAAGTGTCGGTAACAAATATATCAAAGTCCCCCTGGCCAATGTATATAACAACTCTATCTTTAAAATTAAAGTTCTTAGCGGAGAAATCTTCAAGTATGTAGCAGTAACCATATGGAATAAGTATTCTTTTATTAAAGCTCAGATCTATAAATTTTCCTGTATTTCCTTGAATGGAAGCTGATATATTGGTCCTTGACGCATTAATCAGTAGTTTCGTCATGTTTTCAAATGATAAGTTTTGAGTTCCACCCCAACCAATCTGAAGCTTCATAGTTCTTGCTGGATTCGATAAATGCATGCTGTTTGATGAACTTAAGCTCTTATTTCCTTTTAAGGCATCTTCAAATTCAGATGGTTCAAGTCCATTAACAAGTTTTTCATTGTTGTTTTCCATAGTAGTATTGGCAAGTGTAGTGATTATACCTGTGTAGAGATGGGCGCATTCGGTTTTTTTTTCATTTCGTTTGTTCATTGTTAACGACCCATTTCGTCAGTTTTTTTCGTTTGTTCCAAAAAAAATTTATTTGGTTCGTTCCCAAAATTATTGTTCATTTTCCGTCTATTTTATAATTCATTCCTTTTCTCACTGAACGATCATTTAGTAAAATTGTTCGTTCAGTGAAATCGTTAATGCAATAAAATCGGTCATTCAGTTTAAACACGTTAGTTTGTTAAAAAATTGTTCTTTCAGTAGAAAAACTATTGTTTTCCCAAAAGCTTGTTTAACAAATCGTACGTTCAGTAAAAAACTATCTTTTTTAAAAAAATCTGTTTGAAAAGTTCAGTAATTTGAATTATCTGTTTTTAAAGTTCTTTTGAACTATTTTAAATCGTTCATTTTTTTCAAAAAACGAAAAAAATTTCATTTCTCAGAACGAACCATTTCGTTTTTAGTTCATGCCCATCTCTACCTGTGAAGAAGTATTGCTCTGCTGGAAACTTGTATCCGTGAGTATCTGCTACTTGATCAAGGTTGCTCATCTGATCCCGTTCACACAACATTATGTTGATAGTTTTCAAGTCATCCAAACTAAATATGATATTTTTGTTACGCTTAAAGGGACTGTAAGCGTAATTTCATTTCAAGTGACTCTCAATGCAAAGATTTAAAGCATTGTCTGATCAATTATGAATTGGATATTAGTGTTTATTATTTTGAAAACTGATTATTTCCATATGTAGTTTCTCTACAGTGAAACCCTTAATAACGAATACATCGAAAGAATTCATCAAATGTCGTATTCTTCACTTTCTGATAATAGAATGTTGCAGATATTTAGTTTTTTAATTAAATGATTAGATGGAACTCTTTAAAACTGTTCCCGCATATTCATGTCTATTTATTTATTTTCGCAAATACTGAAATTTACGTAATATAGTATAAAACTCATTGAAAAATTGCCAAGACGACATTTGATAAATTCTTCCGATGTATTTGTTATTAAGGGTTTCACTGTACAAAAATTTCTCTACTGCAGGAAAACATATAGAAATTATTTGAAATTAACACTGTTAAATTTAGAAGAACAACAATATCTTCAATTTTGATGATCAGATAGATATAGTGAATCATGCATTGCCATCTTTGCATGGGGAGGGGCACTTGAAATTACACTTACAGTTATTTTAAGAGATATATTTGAAATCCAAAACACATGACCTCCAATTTGAAATTATTTTGATAAAGATATAAAGTGATTATTATATTTAAATTTACAAATAGGGATAAAATCGTTGGGCCTATAAGATGGTGATTAACCAAACCTCTGTAGAGTGAATAAAATAGATGTTAATTCCACATTATATTTAAAATATATTTGACCCTCGTCAGTTCTTGAGATTGTTTCTGTCATGAGGATTGTGTGCGATATTTTTTATCTCTTGCAGTCAATGGCCAGAAAATGAAGATGTAACTGAAGTCTAAACTTTTGTAAAACTTTAATTCAATTATTGATTCCCATTTTTAATACAAATCTATTTATTGATATGATTCCTCTCACCGTAGTTTCAAGAGTCCATTAGGATTTTTCTCCAATAAAACACAAGCGCGATTTTTCGACCAATAGTGATAGTGTGCTATCTATCTATCTTCAGCGCTTAATGGCGCCGGTGAATTTATCTATCTATCTTCTTGTATCTAACTATCTTTCTTGCTATCGCTGCAGTAAACATGATTTCGGGACTCAAAAATGACGGTGAAGTCGTCTTTCGTTAGCA